AGGCTCAGGATGAGGAGAGATTTAACTTCTAGTAGATCTTGAGCTTCATTATACGCCCATTGTAATATATTAACATGGTGAATAACACGCCCACAGGCACCATGGCAGTCTCAAGGCTAGCCACAGAAGGTCAAAGAGAGGGAAATGGCCAATTTTCTGGGAATCCCAGCCCCTTCCCCAGGCTACTTAGACTGGTCCTTCCACTTATTAGCATATGAAGCCACCAATCCCATAAAAACTAGCAACACAGTGCCTCGCAGCCGCCCCTCTCCCTCTTTGGAGCCGGCCCACATTCTGTCTATGGAGTGTGTACCTACTTTTAACCTGAGCACCCAACCCCCACACCTTGTGGCCTTTCTCTTGCCTTTCAATGTATCTCTCTGAATAAATCTACCTTCACTCAACTGTGGCTCACTCTTGAATTCCTTCCTGCACGAAGTCAAGGACCCACATTTGGAGGGGCACGTCCCAGGGGCTCAACCAAGACCTGGGACACAGCCCTCCTCCGGCCCCACATATGCTTTCCTGCATCAGTGGAACAGTTTGTTGAGAAGCAGCCACGTGCCATTGTATGACAAATTGATACGGCATTAGTCCCTGAAATTCAATTTAAAAAATGAACAAGGTTCTAGAGTGAGCTTAGGCTGCATATTAGAAAAAGCTCCATACCTTGTTTACAGGTCAGAACATCAAGTATTTAGTGGTCCCAGAGCCAGCACAGAATAATTACACTCTTTGCTTCCCTCCACTTTCTGCTCTGCTTTTCTTCATAGTTTCGGGGAGAAGGGAGTCCTTAGTGCACTCAAGGGAATGGGGCTCCCTCTGCATTCATATAAATCCTCTCATTTGATTGGAAAAGATCAGAGAAGCAGACTGCAGTGTGTCCAGAATGTCCTGCCTGGAGCTAAGTGAAGAGGTGAGAGCTGGCCCAGCTTTGTGTGCCCATGTGAAGGCAATTAAGATAATATTTCACCCTCAAAATTGCTTACTGGCAATTACACCAGCTGACTCCTCTTTACTGCTTGTAAAGCTGTTTCCAAATGGCTAACAGTATAAGAAGGCTTGTATTAGTCAATCTAACTTCTTCTCTATCTCTAAAATACTTTCTGAGAACAAGAAAAAGAACTCCCCCAGAATTCAAACAAGAAAAAAACTGTAAAAGCCTATTTCCCCGGAAACTGTGTATATAATGCTGCATATTCTGGTCCAGAGAGAGATACTTACAACTGGATTTTGATAAAAGCTAGCTTCTAGTTTATTTCCTTCCTATTAGCAGTACAGTGTAGAAGATATTTGAATACCAGGTTTCCATATCAGATATATAAGCAGCAAGGATATCTATAAAATGTTGATTTTAAAATTGGCCCCTGTTATATGAAAAAAATGTACTGGGGGGAGTCAGAGATTAGGAGCAAATTTACCGGCAGTAACTTAACAAGTACTACATTTCTTAACAAAAATCTTGGCAATCATCCATCGATCGATATTGCTATGTTTATAGAAACGGGCTGATAAACATGATAATCAGCATTGTAATGTTGGGATACAGAAAGGAAGCAGCACTAGAAATAGGCCCTACTTGTTTACCTAAACATATTTATTCTGATGCAAAAGAAACTGTTAACAGTGGTTACCTCTGGGGAACAGCACTAGGAGTTTAGGGAAATGCAGATTAGGAGGAAAACTTTTACTTTTCATTTTATAAACTTCTGAACCACTTAAATTAATGTTGACCATAAGTTACTTTACTTGTTAAAACAGAAATGAGGTAGAGCTGTAAGTTTTGAAACTGTAAAAGATCTGTAAATTAAGTGAGGGCAGAAAATCACATTCATTTGAAAATAAGGAGTTACATAACTGTGTATATGCATATATGTTTACATATATATCTATATGCACCCAAAAAAGATCTGTGAAGAGACATGATAACTCGGTCACACTCACCTCTGGGGATGAAAGATGAGAGATAAGGTATTCTACATGCTTCATTACTTGGTTTTCCACAAACGCATTTACTTATGTGCTACTTGTATAATGCTTAAATAAGTAACATGAGGACACTTTATAAAACAGTTTTTCTCCTACTTGAAAGTTCTCCCCCTTCTCCTGGTTACTCTGGAGGACTGCACCAATCCCATTCTATCTGATTCTGGTGGGTTTCTAACCATAGGCCCCACCCATTTGAGTTAAAATCATGGGTGGGCACGTGACCCAAGATAGGCCAATCAGTTCCTCTCACTTAGGCATTTGAATCTTGAGGAGAAACACATGGGGACCACAGGCATTTGTAAATGAGTCAGCATCTTACAAGGCTGCCCATGTGTAGCTAAGGCTGTGAAATCAAGTTTCCCAGGCTCCTGGCCTTCTTAGTACTGATTTTTCAATTCTTCCTTTGTCTATCTTTATTTCTTAAAAAAAAAAAAAGCAAATAGAGGGAGAGAGAGAGAGAGAGTAATAAGAGTAATAAATTTATTGAAAAGGATAATAAATTCAGTATCGATCACTTTGTGTCCATGGTTCTTATAAGACGTTCAGATGGAAATGCCTAAAAGACTGTTGGAAAAATGGGTTTGGAACTCAGCAGAGAATAAGAATGGGTGGCACAGATTTAAGAGGTATGAGAGTGTTGGCCAAAGTAGGTGATCCAAGAGAGACAAGACCACAGTCAAGGATGGGACAGTGGTAAACACCTGAGGGTGGGGAAGGAGTATCAGGACACTGCCATTTGTCCACCATGGTTAATACCCCAAAATACCACTACGGTATCTGGGGAGGCCTGCCGTCTTCAGTCCTGAGAGCTTGAAGATGATTTCTTGTGCATACCCACCCACTGGGCATTGTCACACGGCTGCAATGTGACAGCACATGTACGAAGCCTAGTCGTCATCACATAACATACAGACAGTGTAGCCAGGTGACTGAATAAGAAATTGTACCCAGGACAAGATGTTAAATCAGATAGCATGGACCATGCAGAGAGTTTCTGCAACCATTTAGGGTAAAACAGCAAATGAGTTACTCAGGGACCTCTTCTGCAATCCCCATAAAAACCCACATTTCATGAAAAAGAGTTAAGGCTTTCAAGAGAAACAGGAAAGCCCTGGATATTTTTTTCCTTGGAGGTCCCACGTGACATCTGGTGATCTAGCACGCCTGCCAATTAACACTAGAAAAGGCCCCAGGTGGAACCCTCCTACTCTATTGGCAAGAATGTAATTTGATGCAGCCACTGTGGAGAACAATATGGAGGTTCCTTAAAAAACTAAAAATAGAGCTACCATATGATCCAGCAATCCCACTCCTGGGCATATATCTGGAGAAAACTCTCATTCAAGAATATATGTGCACCCCAGTGTTCATAACAGCACTATTTACAATAGTCAAGACATGGAAGCAACCTAAATGTCCATCGACAGATGACTGGATAAAGAAGTTATGAGAAATATATACATATATATATGTATATATATATATAAAATAGAATACCACTCAGCCATAAAAAAATGAAATAATGACATTTGCAGCAACATGAGTGGACCTAGAGATTATTATACTAAGTGAAGTAAGTCAGACAGAGAAAGACAAACATCATATGATATCACTTATATGTGGAATCTTTAAAAAAAAAGGACACAAATAAACTTATTTACAAAAGAGAAACAGACTCACAGACATAGAACACAAACTTATGGTTACCAAAGGGGAGAGTGGGAGGAGGGATAAATGAGGAGTTTGGGATTAGCAAATACTAACTACTATATATAAAATAGATAAACAGCAAGGTCCTGCTGTATAGCACAGGGAACTATATTCAATAGCTTATAATAAGCTATAATGAAAAAGAATACATATATATGTATAACTGAGTCACTATGCTGTACATCAGAAATTATTGACACAACATTGTAAACTGACCATACTTCAATTGAAAAAAAAAAAAGGCCCCGGTGGAGCAAAGCACTCACAGTATCCTCCTACCAAAACAAGCCCCAGAAATCACAGGTCACAAAGTGATGTTCCTCAAGTTCTCAACCTAAACTGTACTTTGAATCATCTGGGATTTTTTTTTTAAATACTAATGACTCATCCTGCCTCCCAAGATTCTGACTTAATTGGCCAGAGGTGTGATTTGGCATTAGAACTTTTAAAAGCTCCTCAAATGGCTGTAATGCGCAGCCAAGGTTTAGAACCATAACAAGCCCATATATCTTTTGTTTGACTTGCATTATACCGGCTGCACAGTATTTTCTAATCTGTTAATTGTTTTCAATCATTTAAATGGTCAATTTCATATACCCCTCAATCACCCAGATTTCAGTCTTCTGTTGGGATAGCTGTCCACAGTAGGCCTGCATTCCTAAGGACACTATTCAGTGATGCTGGGGTGCAGCCACACCTTACATGAGCATTTTCTCTGCATTCCCCAGCCCTCCCCACTATCACCACAGCACAAAGCCGATGACAGTTGCTGCTTATCATCCAGCTTGCGCTGTGGGTTTTCTTACATCAGTGTTAAGGGGGGTGAAGTAGTGCTTATCCCTGTGTCTCCAGCAGAAGCAGGATAGAGAAAGACAGTCTAGGAAGGCCATGTGTTCCACAGGGCTGGCCACTCATTTCCAGCAACTCCCTGGCACCTGCAATATTTGGGTGTGTGCTCTTGATTAAAATCTATCTGTTTTCCCAGAAGGTACATCAACATGCCTCATAGCCTATGGAACAAAGAGCTGAGAAGTGTGAGATCTCAACTCTCATTATCTTAATAATTAGGTAGCGCTCCAATACAATAGAAAGCTACACAGGGTGGGGGAGTGGGTGTGAGACAGGCTCAAGGATGTATTGTACAACATGGGGAATAAAACCAATAATCTTGTAATCCCTGTAAATGGAAAGTAATTTTTTAATTTGCATAAAAATTTAAAAAGAAAAAAGAAAGCTACATAAAAACAATAAGAAAGGAAGGGCACATAGTGGCACCAGAGAGCTAAGGAAATGCAGGAAGCTTGTGTCCATTATAAGGGACAAAGGGGGCTGGAGCCAATCCTGACTATGAGATATAAAAACGCCTAATCAAGAATGAAAAAAAGGAAAAAGGAAGAGTGCAACCGTAGAGGTGGATTGCCTTGTTCCCCAGGGAACTGGAGCCCAGGTGTGATTCTGAGATTCCCCCTTTGTAAGCCTGCCCAGCACTGTGACTTGGCCCACCGGGCCTCTGAGTCTGTGCATACTGTCACCGATGTTCTCTCCTTCCTGCCCTCCTGTGTCCAGCTGACTCCTCACGTCTCAGGTCTCAAGGTCACATGCCCTCCACACCCCCCCAGGGAGAAATGGCCTCCTCTCCGGGCTCCTACAGCACCTTTTAATTTATCCCATCACAGCACTTGGGTGGCCTTTGTAAATGCTTTTAAAGTATTTCTCTCCTCACAAAAATCAACTCAAAGTGAAGACTTTAATGTCAACTTTAATGTCTATATTCAATATGTTGTAGTAACCTATAACAAAAAAGAATATGAAAACAAATATATGTATGTATATGTATGACTGAAAATTATGTTGTACACTAGAAATTGACAAAACACTGTAAACTGACTATACTTCAATAAAAAATAAAATAAAATCACAATAAAAAAAAAGACTTAAATATAAGACCTAAATCTACAACTCTCAGAAGAAAACATTTCCTCTTAGAGGAAATCCTCATGACATCGGTCTTGGCAATGATTTCTTGAAAATGACACCAAAAAGCCCAAGCAGCAAAAGCAAAAATAGACAACATAGGATGACATCACATTAAAAGCTTCTGTGCAGCAAAGAAAATAACCAACAGCATGAAAAGGCAACCTATGAAATGGGAGAAAATACTTACAAATCTTACGTCTGCAAAGGGGTTAATATGCAAAGTGTGTAAGAAACTCCTAC